TTATAAAAAAACCCGAAGAATTCTGGCATAAACAATGCTCTTAAGATCAGTGGATGGCATTGAGAACCATACTGTGACTATGCCCAGCTTCAGTAATCTCATGGAGGACAGGTGGCCACACACAGTACAGCATAGGATTCAGAGGTCTATAAAGACCAAAAGTCTACTAGTAACTATTTTATGTCATATTTCTTTTAAGTAAGGTGGAAGCCCATATTATCTTATGATCAAACCAAGTAAAGTTATTTAAATATCTGCTTTCATTTGCATGTGAATTTTTTTTCCTAATTAGATAAGTAAAGAAAGACTTGTCCTTCTTTATTAAAAGAGAACTATGGGGCAAGTGTTTTTCCCCATAGTTCTCTTTAGAGTCACAGGAGGACATACACTGACGTCCTCCCATGACTCAAAGCTCCTCCCATGACTCAAAGCTCAGTATATAGCGGGCTATTCCCCGCGATATACTTAGAGCCCTGCAGCAGGGACGGATCCCGACAATACTGTCGAGATCCACCCAGCTGCGTCAGTGACAGCTGTCTCTGCCTATCTAGAGGCAGAGCCAGCTGTGCCCACCCCTTCCCCCATTCATCCCTCTAGTCAGCGCTGGAGGATCGGAGAGGGGAGTCCCTGCGGGGAGCGGTGACTGACAGTCACCGCTCACTGCAGGGAGACGATCGGGAAGTGAGTGGATTGGCTGCATGTTTCTGCTCACTTCCCGATCGATAGAGCTGACCTGTGACAGCTTCTTTGTCACAGCTCGGCTCTAACTATGAGGATGAGTGGAAATCACTCACCTCATAGTTCTCCTTTAATGTATGGAATATTTTGCAAGATAATTACACTTATGGGGTACAGGGATTACAGGGCATTCAATTACAATCTAAAGTTAAAAAAAAATCAGTGATGTCAGCGCCAGATTACTCCCTAATCTGGTGCATCATGTTTATGTACATCATATGCCACATACAGAGTAGATTCCATACTTTATATAGGTCTCCAAGAGCAGCAGAGTGCTTGCACTTGCACTCACTCCTTGCAGCTCCAGAGTCCTGGGCTTAATACCCCCCAAAGGCACTCATGTGGGGGTCTATGTGTTATCCCCATACCTGCACGGGTTTGCTTCAGTTTCCTCCAACAAGCCAGTGACATAATGGTATGTGGGTGCATGCATGTGACAGTTATAGAGCATTAGGTTATGAGTTCATAGTTGTTATTGGCACTGACATCAATTGTTCAATGTTCTTTATAAAGCAGCGTGACAAAAATATCCCCTAGTCATTGTCAATCAAACGTCTTCTTTAGACAGTGTCACTGAATATATCAAATACATTTTACATAAGTTATCTCCCAGCAGTGCCATTCTGGGGCATAACATATGGAACGTGTATTGGGATTTGTATTTCCTTATAGAACAAGTTGGAACACCTATCGCCCTGGAGAAACCGAAGTCTAGGCCATGCTACAGTACTTACAGAAGTGAACTAGTTGAAGTGAACTGAGCTAAAAGATAAGAGACTCAGGAAATAAGAATACATTTATCGGCCAAACCTGACTTTCAAGACGGTAAGCTTTGCTAGCAATGCTTTGCATTCAGCCATTCATTTGAATATGATCCAAAAGAAACCAATTTACAGAATGTAAACATCATACAAACTGTTAAATGTATCACGTAGACAAAATAAATTCACGTGATGTTTTTTAAACAGCATTAGGCCATTAAATGCTTTTCAGAGCTGCAAACGGGCTCGCTTAGAGGTTGATTCACTAAAGGAGTAGAGGCCATTCACTTAGCACGGTGTATGTCCACTAAGAAATTAAATAGGCTAAGTGAAAATTTACAGAGCAAATTAACATTAACTTTATAAAGTGATCATATTTTATTCCGAAAATCATTCCGATAGTCTTTTTCTATTTAAAAACACACAAAGACACATACATATTTTTTTGTTATGGTGTTTATAGAGAATAGAAAACATTAATTACCCGCAAGTTAGTGGATGATGGGAAGACACCCTCTATGGGTCATTTTATATATCACAGATATTGAGGTGATGATTATTTCGCAGTGGCCAACAAAAGGCAGAGAAGGGACTAAAAAAAAATCAGACTATAAAATATTCCATTCTTGGAGACCACAACACCAACAACAATTGTAATCCATTTTCCACAAAATCCTCGGATCAGGTTTTGCAGAGAAGGGACTAAAACAATCAGAATGACCTTAACTCATAACTGTGTAGCACAATAAATCCTTCCTAGAACAGAAGGTATTCACATGTTACGTGAATATGTCAAATAGTAAGAGAAATAACGTCACCAGCACTCCAAAGTATAATAAAGCAATAGTCCACTTATTGACACATTGCCATTCAAATGCGCCAATAAATGGACTATTGCTTTATTATACTTTGGAGTGCTGGTGACGTTATTTCTCTTTCTGATTCTATCACGGTCACTACAATCTGATTCTATCCGTGGTCACTACAATCACCCACCCGACCATACGGGTCTTTTCTGTTCGGTAAGGAGTGCAGCGAGATCTCTTGATTTCTGAATTCGTATGTCAAATAGTATTCACATGTCAAAAAAAAGCATAGAAATCAAGGTTTCCATACACTGCACTGATGATGGCCAAAAAGCCTGAAACAGCCTTATGTAGTTTGGAATAAATAGCTCTATAATATCAGGCTATATTTGCACTATACACCAGCAGTGCAATTGCAACTGAAGCCAAACCTTAAGAAACAAAATTGGATGGAGTTGAGAGGGATTAGAATACCTGTCAGAATTTATTTGATGTCTGTGTTAGTGAGATTCACCCACTCTATTTGTCCTGGTGACCGTTATCAGTGAAAGTAAATCCCAAATTTTGGGGTGTCATTAGAACAGAAATAGATGGGAAATCTTCCAACCACCAGGAATTTATCTTCTCTTTGAAGGGATTTCTTCTCACTTCCTGTTGTAACTATGGCACAGGAAGAGAAATCCACTAAAATGGGATCCCTTACTTTATCCAAAACTAAAAAAAAAAAGAAGGTTTTGGCTTCAGTTCTACTTTAGGCCATTAAAGAGACATATATAATTAAATTCCTCTTCATATTATAGTTCAAAATTTCACTTGATTAAGTGAAAATTTACTTTCCTAATAATTGCCCTGCTACCACTACACAATAGCAATAGGGCTATGACATGGCCATTCCAGGTTGTTCCCTCTGTCACTCACAATACTAAAAAAAACAGAACCAAATTTAATAAAGCGCCTAAAAAGTGTTCAGGTGCACGATAGAACCAAAGCGATGTTACCAATATTTGATAAAGTCATAACAACATTACTTTACCTACACCAGACAAAGTACCAGGTTCATTGGCTACCACCTGAATGAGAAGTCCATAATTATGTTTCCCACAATTTCCCACCACCCCTAATTCACCACTGCAGCCCCCCAAATATTCTTAAAACTTCATGACTGGTTTAAAGTTATGCATGTGGCATTGCTCAGCCACTCAGGCATTGTGGGAAGTAGGGAGGTGAATCACATGTTCTATGGAAATACCCTTATGTATCCCTACCTGACAGTCACTGTTCTCTGCAGGTAGAACACTGTGAGCGATCAGCGGTTACACCATACTCATCAGTTACATTCAGCCTTCGTTATAGACAATGGCAGTGTCCCATGCTGCCTCTAAGCTGCGGGGAGAGTATATTTTACACTGCCCGCACTTCTCCTTTAAGACATGGTCAGGGCCAGTTTTAATGGTGTTTCAGTACTACTTCAGAGGAGCCAAGGTAAGAATTTATGAATCAAGCTGTAAACTTGCAGTAAATCAGTCTTAGAATTAGCCTTACTGCTCCTGTTTAGCATTGCCTTGTAGTGTAGAATTGATAAATGTTCGTTATATTTGCATTTTTGAAATCCAGTAATAGAGCTAAAGAGGAAGTGATAATGCAGAGGGGAGTCTGCTGTAGCTAATGGAAAATGCAGTTCATCCCCAATGCAATGGTGCACAGTAAAGTCTAGTACCACTCTACATACAGGTGAAACTCGAAAAATTAGAATATCGTGCAAAAGTTCATTTATTTCACTAATGCAACTTAAAAGGTGAAACTAATATATGAGATAGACTCATTAAATGCAAAGCAAGATAGTTCAAGCCGTGATTTGTCATAATTGTGATGATTATGGCTTACAGCTCACGAAAACCCAGATCCACAATTTTTAGAAATTTTTTGGCAGTGTGGGCAGGTGACAAGTCCTGCTGGAAAATGAAGTCAGCATCCCCATAGAGCTCGTCTGCGGAAGAAAGCATGAAGTGCTCCAAAATCTCCTGGTAGACGGCTAAGTTGCATTAGTGAAATAAATGAACTTTTGCACGATATTCAAATTTTTCGAGTTTCACCTGTATATAACACGGTACGCTGCTTGCAATAGCACCACCTGGATTTAACTTTTCAAAGTACCGCAGCGCGGAATACTGAAAAATGCCCTGGATGGGAAGGGGGTTTAACACCGCGGATGTCAACTGGTTAAAGTAAACCTTTGCTGAGTGAACCATGGTAGCTGCCATTATTGACCTTCTTCTGAAGAGGCTTACCTCTTAATACAGGCCTTCTTGCCAATATTGTGCAATACATTCATTTTATTATTGTTGTTGAAACTGAAATACAAAATAAAAGTGATTTCAAGACATGGTTTTGATGGTTTTTGCATTGACTAATTGTTTGACCTTTTTGTTGTTGGCATGATTATGACAACATATAGAGCATTTTTCCAGAGTATTATTATTCAGCATAGCAACAGACAGGGTGTCTAACCAATTGCCTTTACAAGTTTATCGAGCAAAACTGTAATAACAGACTGTGGGTCCTCAGCACTATTTTATTAACTCAGCATAGAAAGGTCTTTATGGTGCTAGTTGAGGAAAGACACTTTATAACAGATGCACCCTACAGATAGCACAATTCAACAATTCCATTTAGTGTGCTGCCAAGTCTGCATACCATGAAAAGCATGGACGATGGCCATGTTTGTGAACAGAACAAGGACAGTGTGAATTGTTCTGAAAATAGCCCAGGTAAGGATGGGATGAGCCATAGAAAAAAAAAATGACTTGAAGAACTGCTGGCAAAGCTCTTATTAGCCCCTGCAGAGTAGGGGTAGCCCCACAAGGCTACCCCCACACTGCAGGGGTTAAATGCTCGTTTTTGAGCTGGCTCCCTGCTTCTGTGGTATCTGAAGCCTGTCTGCTCCTATGCTGCAGCATTTAAATGTTGATGTCTCAGCGTCCCCACAGTGTATAGAACATGATAATTTACGGGATCTTAAACGCCTGCAGTGGAGGGGTAGAGAGGCTGGAAGGACTGGTCTAAGAGCAAGCCGGCTCTGTGGTTTGGGTGAGTATTAGCACCTAGACAAAAATGAGCAGTTAACCCTTGCATTGCAGGGGGTACCCCCTCTGCAATGGTTAATACAAGTTTTGTCCAGAGTTCTTCTTTAATATTTGATCGACATGCTTCTGCAATTTCAGTAAGAGGAACATGAATGCGTATCTTAACGTAAAAGCAGAACTTTAATATAGCGCAACTTATCAATTCTGTATGTGGTGGCTGCAGTTGTTTTCTTTTTTTTTTAGGATTTTTTATATTTACCTGCTGATCCAACCAGTAAATCTGTTATTTTTCAACTTCCTACGACAGCAGAAGTGGCTGATAGATGGTTGAGACAAACAAATTAACACATTGTCAGCTTTTATTCACTTATGTAAAATCTTTATTCATAAAGGGAAAAAAAAAACGTTTGCTGTAACTGCTTAAAAAGTGTTATTTGGAGTTCAGATTTAATTTGTTAGTGAAGTTCATCTACAGTTGATATAAAAAAAATCTACACACCTCTATCCTATCGGGCGCTGGGAAAGATCACGAAGGGAACATCGTCTTTCGTAAAGCGCCACAATAAGACGCACACTCTGTGCCGTCGCTGTGGGTCTAAAGCCTTCCATTTACAGAAGTCAACCTGCGGCAAGTGCGGCTACCCAGCTAAGCGCAAGAGAAAGTACAACTGGAGTGCTAAGGCCAAGAGACGCAACACCACCGGCACCGGCCGCATGAGACATCTGAAGGTTGTGTACCGCAGGTTCAGGAATGGATTCAGTGAAGGTACAACACTTAAACCCAAGAGAGCCGCAGTTGCAGCTTCCAGCTCCTCTTAAGAACTGATATTTGTAAAAAATAAATGTGGTCAAAGGAAAAAAAAAAAATGTGGTCAAAGGAAAAAAAAATAATCAAAATCTACACACCCCTTTAAAAATGCCAGGTTTTTGAGATGTAAAAATCAGACCAAGATAAATCAATTCAGATTTTTTTCCACCTCTATCTGGACAATTCAATTAAAAACAAACTGAAATCTTTAAATGGGGAAAAATAAAACTAAAGAACTTATAATAACATGGTTGCATAAATATGCACACCCTTAAACGAATACTTTGTTGAAGCACCTTTTGATTTTATGACAGCATTCAGTCTTTTGGGGTAGGAGTCTATCATTGTGCACATCTTCTCTTGGGAATTTTTGTCCACACTTCTTGCAAAAGCGCTCCAATTCCGTCCTATGGAAAGGGCATCTCCTGTGCACAGTCCTCTTCAGGTCACCCTGCAGATTTTCAATAAGATTCAGTTTCGGGCTCTGGCTGGGCCACTGCAAAACTTGATCTTCTGCTGGTAAAGCCATTCTTTTGTTGAATTGGAAGTATGCTTTGGGTCATTGTCGTGCTGAAAAGATAAATTGATCTTCCGGTTTTGTGCCAAAATTGACTGACGTTTGGAACTGTTCATAAGTCCTTCCACCTTGGCTAAAGCCCCAGCTCCAGCTGTATAAAACAGCCCTAAAGCATAATGCTGCTACCACGTTTCACTGTGGGTATGGTGTTCTTTTGGTGATGCACAGTATTGTTTTTGCACCAAACATACTTTTTGGAATTATGGCCAAAAAGTTCAATCTTGGTCTCAACCGTCCATAACGCATTTTCACACAGGCTTTTGTCAGACTTGATGTAGGTTTTTGCAAAATGTAGCCAGGCTTGGATATTTTCCTTAGTAAGAAAAGGCTTTCGTCTTGCCACCCTACCCCACAGTGCAGCCATATGAAGAATAAGGGAGATTGTTGTCACATGTAGTACACAACCAGTACATGCCAGAAATTCCTGCAGCTACTCTAATGTTGGTGTAGGCTTCTTGGCTTCCTCCCGCACCAGTTTTTTTTCATCAACTTTGGAGAAATGTCCAGGTAACGTCTTAGTAATGTCACTGTTGTGCCATATTTTTTACACTTGTTGATGACCATCTTCACTGTGTTGACAGCAGGTGTGTACTGACTAATATTTAACATCAGTTTGAATGTAATTGGTCAATTCTGAACACAGCCACATCCCTAATTATGTACACTTATGCAGTCACATTATTTTACAATTTCAGTTTGTATTTTTAATTAAATTGTACAGATTACAGATGGAAAAAATTCTGAAGTGATTTCTATAATCCACCTAACACTACCATCTCCACAGTCACTGACGGCGACAATTCGCACGTTCAGACCCAGATTTTCGGCTGACAGTCCAGTCTTTAAACACTTTAACAACAGCTGCTCTTGAACATTTAAGGAATTCTGCTGTTTTGCTGATACTCGCTCCATGGCTCCGAGCGCCAACAATTATCCCGAGTTCAAAGGCTGTTAAATAGAGTTGTTTACCCATATCTTCAGGAAAAAATCACTTCTACTGTCGTGGTAAACAACCTGCTTCCCTATTTATAATGGTCTGGCCCTCTAGCAACTTCAGCGCCAAATTATAGCTAATTATAGCTAATTTGCCTACAAACGTCAGGTGGTCAACCTAAAAAATGTGGCCACCCAGTGTATAGGAAAGGGATTCCCAAACATCTCCTCTACAGGGCCTATGCAGTCTCTCACATACACAAAAGCTGATAAATATTGTGTCAGTACAAATAATATTTTGTGTCACTAATAACACTCAAGGCTACATCGGAAGCTTGAATCCGATTGGTTACATGACAATTAAAATGGGGATATTTCACAGTATGGGCTTCAGGAAGCAATGTGAGGAGCTGTGTGATATTTGGCTGCAGTGGGCTATAAAGAATTCAGACCTAGCATCAAATATTTCATGCAAGACAGGTAATGTGTAAATGTAACACTTTCATGTATTTATTACATCTTAGAGATAATAGTACTCCTCCTGACAATGCCTTCATTTGCTTTACTCTCAGCCCTGGTTCACACCCAGGCGTTTTTGAGCAGTACGAAAAGCGCTTTTAACTGCCCATCACAAGAAATCCCATGATTTTCAATGGCCCTGGTTCACACCTGAGCAGAAAAATGCCAGACGCATGAAAAGATACAGGAGCTTCGTTGGGCAGTTAACAGCGCTTTTCCTCCCCAAAGACTTTATTGGAAATGCCCAAAAACGCGTAACAGAAGCATGTTGTACATTTTCGTGAGCGTTCTTGCGCATTTATATGCGCGTTCTTCTATTACCCACAATGGTTTATAAGCTGCCAATCAACCCGCATTTCTGCATGGACGCGCATTAAAAACGCGCATACAGATGTGCACAACGCGCATATAACCGCATGCTGCTAACGCTGGTATAAACACACAAAAACAGTGTGAACCAGAGCTAAGGGAGGACAGCATCATTTTTGTCCGGGCATCGCCCTGTGACAGCATCTATTCATGGACAGAGATGATGGCTGAGAGATGATACAATTGAGTGAAGCCTCTCCCCTTCTTTAGTAAATCAGCCTGTGTGTGGATGCACCAATACTTTTGATACATCCCTCTGGTCTTGGTGTAAATGCTATATAAATAAAACTGAAACTCTGGGTGTCCATACTTTAACTATTTCAGTTAAGTGGAAGTTATATGTATTCATGTGTCTGTAAGGAAAAAAAAGGGTGTAGGTACACCCAGTTTCTGAAATGGAAAACATATCCCAAAACGCTGATGTTGCAGGGACTGCTGCAGATAAACGTGGAAAATGCATGTTACAAGTAAAACCACTCAAGGTAGGTGTCTTTTGATTTCAGTCATTTTGTGCCCCAGCTGGAGCAACCTAAGCATTTTTTGCCAGCTTTAACATTTGCCTGAACACTTCAGTAGTCTATTATAATGACCAATAAAGTTTATGTAGGCAAAGATATTAAAAGCAGGGTCAGGTTTAAAAAAAAAAATGTTTTTGAGATGTATGGTGTTCCTTTCCCATAGATAACATAAGACCCCTCCATAAATATCATTTGCAGCATCTCATAAATGTTCAGAAGCTACCAACACAAGAAAAGACACAGAAGGATGATGCTGGCAAAATGTTGGTAAAATGAGAAGTGTCTGTTGCATAATTCCCAGATGATGGCTCCTCTCAGCAGGTGTATCAGAATAAGCTTTTGGATAGTCTTCTGGGTCATATTTTAAAGCTTCAAGAAAACCTCTTAATTTCCAATACAGATTTATGGTAGCCATCCACATTCCTATAATAAACAAAGAAGCTGTCTATGGGAAACTTGGTGAACAGTCTCAGATGTCGAAGAGAATGTTTCAAATATGAAAACGTGGTACTACTAGCAAAATTCTGGTTGTCACATTACCTTTAGCAGAATTTCTTAATCAGAATGTTGATATTCTGAAACAGATAAATGACTTTATAAACTCAAACATTATATCAGTAGTACTAAAAAATTATGGCTTGCTCATAACACATTTCTTCTTACATCCACCATTTATACCAAACAGAAAAAATATTTAGACATTACACTTCCTCATTACTATATATGCAGTAGGGGATAATATGATATGTTTAAACAATATATGAGGTAAGCTAGTGCTTGACAAAAGTACTTGTCAAAATGTCCTGTATCAGGCCCGATACCTATGCTAGCATCGGTATCAGGACATCCCTATTGTGAACAGTAAAAATGTATCAAGGAACCACAAGCATCATATTTGTAAATGTTTTTGTGGAATTTAGGTTTCTATCCTAATGGAATATTTTGTTAAAAAAATAAAAAGTAAACAACAATATTAAATCAAAGTCCTAACAGTAGTACAAGCAAAAAAATTAAGTGTATTTTTTTTTCTTTTAATTGATGGCTTCATACTCAGGTGCCACACATTTCCATGATGAATAGCACACTTGGCAAATTAATCGTATATGTCAAGTACTAGCTTACCTCATATATTGTTTAAACATATCATATTATCCCCTACTGCATATATAGTAATGAGGAAGTGTAATGTCTAAATATTTTTTCTGTTTGGTATCAATGGTGGATGTAAGATAGAAATTTATTGCTATAGTGTACTGGACGTGTGTAATGTATATGTAGTACATATATACAGCACACACCTCCACTACACTCCAGCAAGAGTTACAATTCTCCGCTGCTAACATGATCCATAGTACATAACATCCATACATAACATGTAGTTGTACTACGGATCATTTAAAATCACCTGCCCCTTTAAGAAAAAGTATCGGTAATTGGTATCGGCAAGTACATGAGGGGAAGTACTTGTACTTGGGCCTGAAAAAGTGGCATCGGGATATCCCTAGTTCACAACAATATCAAATTTCATTCATCTGACTCAGCGAGCTACACAAAAGGTTTGCTTCTGTATAAATGTTTTATTTCATTTATAATACTTGTATTTTGATTGGGGACATATATTGGTGGATACATTTAAAAGAACATTTGTTAGATTTTTGCAAATACCAAAAGACCATTAGATGTTATCTTCTGTAATAAAATAGGAAAGTATTGTATCTAGATACATACATAGAACAGACCACAATGGCTGTATTGTTTTACTGATTATTTACATTCCAGAAAGGAAACTTTGTAGTAAGTGGAGTAATATGAAAAACATTAATTCATACACACTTTTAGACAATGTTGCAGTGCTGAGAATTCCTGTTAGTGTGAAGATGCTCTATTCCTGTATGTATAATCTTTTCTTGGCTGGACCTAACAATAGGTTTATACTTGGGAATAAAAGAAGTACTCACATATATGCATATGTGTTTTCTAATCAGTTTGGAATGATCCCACAACCTAAATGCCAGAGAGAAAAGCAACCCAAGTCAGCACTTGGGCCCCGTTCACACCTCTGCATTTTGTAGCTTGAAGCTGCAAAACGCTCAACACAAGAAATCCCATTGGTTTCCATGGCCTCTGATCGAACCTGAACTTGTAGCAAAATGCCTGTAGGTTGGAAAAGTACATGAACATCTTTTCAGGCAGGTGTATATTTTACCCCATAGACTTCAATGGAAACACATTAAAACGCATTAGAGGTGCTTTTCAGCATTTTGCAGGCGTTTTTGAATGGTATCACAGGTGATACTGCTTTCCTTTGGGCTATATAGAAAAAAATACCTGAAGCTGAACACCTTCAAAATGCTTAACAAATCCCACATATACAGGCATAAAAATGGTCAAAAACAGAAGCTACATGTACAATTTTAAATTGTACATATATTGCTGTAACACTGTTCTTAGACAAAGATATTCAGTCAGTATTTGTCAAATGGACAGTTTACCTGTCAATGCCTCAGAATATGAAGACATATAAATGAAGGGCTTCATAGAAGCCAGAAAGATATACAGAAGAATGACACATTTACAAATATGTTGATTTATTAATGGCCTTATGGGTAATACTCCTTTAATGACGTTCCCAAAATTGGACAGCAAGAGTGTAGCAGCAAACTCCTATTGTGCATACCTTATATGTTAAGCATATATGCACGCAGAGTTCAGTCATGTATCAGCAGGTATGGTTGTAATAAAGAAAAAAAACTACAGGCTATCAAAATGCAGTCACAGGTTTTTTGCTAATGCATCTTGAGTTACATAGGAAGGGACAAGGTTTGCTGCACAAAAAACTGGATTTTGTACTCTTTTAAAACCCGTTTCTTGAAGATCATTAGGGACACAGGATTAATAGAACTTGGAGTCATAGTGCTGCCTACAGGAGGAATTAGACATTGGCAAACAAAAAGCCATTAGCCAGCCAGGTATAAACCCTCCAACTCCCATGATGCTTCAGTTTTTAGAAAAGCAGTATTAGGAGATCTTAAACACAGACCAGATGGGAGCTGTGTCCCTGAATGAACTTGAAGACATGGGATTTACGGAGATTTCAAAAATCCTGTTTTTTGACACAGGATCAGTAGAATTCTGAGGCAATTGGGATATCTAAAAGCAGTTCAACCGAGGGGTGGGTAACACAGCAAACAAAAAAACTCTAACAAGTCCACAAAACAACAGCCCAAAAACTAGGGGCTGCCTGCCGCTCAAAGAGCTGCCTGGAGGACCCCACGCTTGCAAAAGCAGAGAGGTAAATATCCCCCTGGCACAAAGTACAGAATGTGAGAACAGGTGATGGTTTGCATCTCAGTCCTGCAGAGCAGACAAGAAAGAGCTTCAGTGGAGGAAAGCTATAGATCAGGATGAACTTATCCCATGGAGCCAACAGAGCATCTACTGCCACAGTCGGTACCTGGAGTCAGAGCTGCACAGTTTGTGGTTGAATCTGAAAGCCAAACAACCTACATCTGATATCCCCAACCTGCGACAGATGTTTAAAAAAAATGCTGGGCAAAGACACCATTCCCTTTGGTCCAGGCATTGTCAGCTGAGAAAATCTGCCTGCCAAATGTCCATGGCTGAGATGTGGATGGCAGAGGAAGCTGGAATGTTAAGTTCTGCCCAGTACATAATCTATCCGCTTCTCTTAGCGCCGCAAGGCATGTGGTTCTTCCCTCATGATTGAGGTATGCCCTGGCATAGCATTGCCTCACTAAATCCTGATCAAATGGCCTTGCAGTTGAGTGCCCCAATATAGATGGGACAATCGAATCACTTGCAGTTCCAGTATGTTGACAGTGAGATAGGCTACCTCCAGCAACCAAGTCGCTTAGGATAGGGTGTCTAGGACTCATCTTTAGGTGGTCAGGCTTGATTATCAGGGGCATGCGATTGACCACAGATAGCACCTTCTTCTCCCACAGACAGAAAGTTGACTTGCAGCGAGTGGAACTAAGCAAATGGGCCTGCCTCAAATGAGGCTGCCATCAAACCTATAATTTTCATGCAAAAGCAGAGATCTGGTCAGCTTCTGGACTGTAGAGTCTGAACTTGAGAATGGAGAGGTTGGAGCTTCTCTTCTGGAAGCAAAGCTCTGGACTAAGCAATATCCAGTCCAAGACCCATGTACTCTAGTTGGTTCCAGCACCAACTGTTAAGGTTCAGGATATAACCGAACATTTTGTAGAGTCTGAGAGGTTGTCTAGTTATCCCATTATGGGAATGACCTGTGAGCATGGTAAGGCTAGCACAGGGGCTACAACCTTGGTGAAAACTTAGGGTGGGGAGGACAGACTAATTGGGAGAGCTACAAACAGGGGGTGCTGTGTGCCCACAGCAAGGTGCAGGGAACATTGTTGCGCTGGAAAGATAGGGAAATGAAAGTATGCATGCTTGATGACGTCCACAGAGGCCCAGAAAGTCATCCAGATGGAGGGAGTCTATAACTGACGTGGTGGACTCCATGTTACGCTTCTGCACTCGAATGAAGACATTGAGGACTTTCAGATCCGGGAAGGGGTGAATTCTTCTTTTAACTTTGGGTATAGTGAACAGGTTTGAGTGGAAACCTTGAAACGGTTCACCTTTTGGAAAAAGGTAGTGGTTCTGCCAAAGCAGCATGGTGGTCAGTTAGACCACCGGTGGTTAGACTTTGAGCATAGTTTGGCAGATTTTACAACCTGAATCCGGATTGAGGCAGAAATTGAAGCTTGAGATTGTATCCCCTGGATACCACATATTTTACCTATGCATTCAAGATGTTTTTGGTCCACTTGATTGCAAAGGTTAACAGATGCCTCCATCTCCTCACTGGGAGAAGGACTTGTCTGCAGGTTTGCAAGATTTGGGAGTCCAATATCTGTGATGAAACTGGGTCCCTGGTTTTCGAGTTGCACTTAAGGGCCTGGGAGAATCAACTCTTTTTTAATTTCAGAAGCAGGAGGTTTTCTAGACTAAGGCTTAGGTTTTGTTTTGCTGGGACTTTCCCCTAGTGACATCTTTGATAAAGCTGTCCACAGAGGCACCAAAGACACCATCAAAAAGCAAGCACTGTGGTTCTGACCAACATTTAAATAATTCTCCACATATTAATAGACAGGAGTATGCTGAATATGAGGTGTACAATATCCAATAATCAATCAACACACTTGTACAAAGCAGCAGGCATAAGTTCTAAACACTCCAAAACTGAGAGATCAGTAAGGATGGTGTCAAGTTCCGTGGACATCTATTTTGTCAAAACAGCCAAGGTCTGGCAGACATGGCAGGTTGCAAAAGCTCGCTACATGCTGAGTTTTGGGTCACAGGAGGACATTAGTATATGTCCTCCTGTGACCCTAAAGAGAACTATGTCAACAAAAAGTTTGGCCATAATTCTCTGTTAAAGCAAGAATTGGATGGCTCCATGACAGAAACTGCCCACATCTTGGTAAATGCCTCCTCCATGGGATATTGCTTAGCAAAATATTGACAAAACAATTTGTGAGGAGTTTCCTAGCCTGTATAAAGATAAGTGTTAGTAAGGAATTGACTTTTGACAGTCTTAGGACCTCTAGGGAGCCTAAACTAATAACCTAGTGTTTTCAGACACAGGTTGCTCCAGTTTTAAACATGTGCGCATTGTGTCAGTAAGAAATGGTAGGGTATCCTTAAGCCTAGCAGTTTGACAGGCAGTGGTAGGTCTATGGTCTTGATTTTGTTCATAAAATATAACATTGCTGTAGAAATTTCCTCCCTGTATAATTCAGGTGGGGGGGGGCAACACTTGAGGGAGATGGGAAATACTTAGAGGACCATGTGGACTCAAGTAAGGGACAATGACCCAGGCTGTCAGCATCGGCAAAGCCCTAATTATCACAGTTGTAGTCCTGCAAAGTGCTCTGTGCCAAACAAGGATGGCACTGAAGTACAGGAGAGTGCCACAAACTTCATGGACATAGTCCCAAGGAAGTCTTCAGGGATCAGGATCATCCCAGTGGCTATGTCATGGCCCTGGCCCTGTAAATAACTTTGTTGCTGACAAATTAGTACCCTAGGTGTCTGGGAAGCACCATTAGCAAAACCTAGTGTCAGAGGATCAAATTACAGGCAGGACCCACATGTTCATCATGGAATGATCTGGGTACGGCCTCCAAGGCAGTGCCAAGGACTAGTTGATACAACTGCACTGGGAGCTCACCTTGCAAGGAAAAAAGAATCTTGATTAAAGAAAAATATTCCTGTCAAAAGTAAAAAATGTCTAGAAAAAATGGTTTAACTTTTCTCTGAGTAGAAAAAGAGTCCTATTCTCAGAGGACACTACCAAAAAACTAAAACATCATGGGAGTGAGAGGGAGTATACTTGGCCGGTCAATTGATTTTTTTTCTTTGCTAGGGTCCAAGTCCTCCTGTAGATAGCAGTACAACCCAGTTGTCTCAGAATTCTACTGATCCTGTGTTCCTTAATTAACAATTAAAAAAAACATGTTTTCTGATATGTTGCTGCATAATATTTTATAGTACGAAGGCAGCAGGTCAGATAAACAGTATGAAAAATATGTTTTCCAACAGGGCTACACTCTTTTGGACAGGAAGTGCTGTATTAGGCACTTCTAACACCCATATTTATTTACAAATACAGTACTTAACACTGTTGAGCTATTTGCTGTAACCTTTACATGATATTTGCCAAAATATACTGGTGCAGTGAACAAAACGTATTGTCTACGTTTGTGAATATATTGACCATATGCTAATGCGATGATCTTTTGATCCAGCTGCCAGCAATCGTTCTTCAGGTATAATATGATCTGAAAAGGCCACACAGTGCACACTTGCTGAATGGTACTGGAGAACAGCTAATGGCTTCATCTTCTTCCACCCGAAAATTCGAACGCGGCAGTCCCAGCCTGCAGCTGCCAGTATCTTCTTGTCTTGTCTGATTGCAACATCAGCAATGCCTGGATTGACAATTCCCTGGGCTTTACAGATCTCAAAATCAGAAAAAAAACAATACAAGGATCAAAGAGCTGAACATAATGTTACATAGCAATAGTCAAACTGAAGGAGCTTTCAAAATTACAGGTTAATCAATAAATGTTTAGAAAGGTGCACTATCACTGTGAAAAAATGTTACTTTCTCTTGGAAAGTGCTGCTGCAAAGATTCCAAATACAGAGATATTAGCTATAATGGAACCTAAACAATTCACTTCCTTATTTTTCTATTTTTTCTTTACTAGGTTATTAGGTCACTGTGGGCGAGGGGCCTGCCTGCGCAGCCCACGCCCCCTCCCGCCCCTGAATGCAGGTGTTTTTTCGTTGCTAGATCTCAATGAGCTCGTCATTTGAAAAGTAGATCTCCAGATGAACAATAGTGGGCGCCCCTGGGCTATAGCATAGCTTTGTGACATTGTCTTCAACAGAAAGTATACCATTATACACTTAAAGGACAATTAAACCTTCGTTGATTTTTTTTGCATATCTACTGCTAGCGAGTAATAGATTTATGCAAAAACATTTTAAAAAAAAGTTAATAAAACGGTTAAAACTTACCTGTGCCTCTGCTGCACACTCCCGTCCGAAGATCTAAAGATTCTCAGGCAGCCTCAAAGGATCATGGGGCGGGCGCTTGAGCAGTAGAGATCTTCGGCCAGGAGAAGAGACACAGGGTAAGTCAATGCAGGCAGCGTTCACCCGCACAGACTCCGTGGAACAGGAGTCAGCGCTGGATCAGAGACCGGCACCAGTGCTGGAAGGGCTCCTGAAAACTACTGGAAAAAGGAAGATGTACTATAGCCAGGCTATGTACTGAATATTACAGGCCTACGGATGCATTGTTTTATCATTATTATACTTTACTCCAAGTAATGCTTATTAGAATGTATTTATTGATTTTCATAATGGAACTGCAGTTGGACTAAAGCCCAGGGTTATGTTGCCGAAGAGACTACACACAAGCATGCCAATTGGAACATGAGAGGAGTGAGCCACTGTGCTCATTTCCACATGATGTCATTAGCTCAGGTACCTGGAATGTAACATTCCACACATCTGCTTTGCATTATTAATGGATGAGTGGGAAAGGAAACCTGAAATCATTCACTATCCCTATCATTTATGTGGGAGGCACATCTATTTATTTTATTAATGCTCACTAAATACCATTTAGGGAAATACATTAGATAGCACATGGAAATGATCAAATGTCAAAACTGTCCAAAAGTATTCAAAAGCCAACACATACTATCATACTACCACTAAACACTACTAAAAGAAAAAAAAGTAATACAAATAATAACATGTATAAATAATTTAACACATCATAAAATGTAATTTTATTGGTATCTATCTACCAGTAGCTTCCTCATTTCCCACCCTCGGCTTATATTCGGGTCAATACTTTTTCCCAGTTTTTTTTGCTAAAATTAGGTACCTCGGCTTATATTCGGGACGGCTTATACTCGAGTATATACGGTATATAGATTACTAATACAGCAATACCATTGGGGAGAACGTAGCATTATAAATGATAGATAACGACATAATAAAGTAATTATATATACCGTCAGATTTACAAGTATTAAAGTATATGTGAAGCCAACATTTTTAATTTTCAATTCAATTTGTAAATAGTTATTTCAACTTGGCACATTTTACTTTTTGTCAATATAAATTAGGAACATATTTATAATCATTTTAATATATCTTTATTTGATCAATTTTTATATGCATGCTGCAAAATACTGAACTGGAAAAATATATACCACACGTGCTACATCCACACAGAAAGTTATCTAAAATTTTACAACCTAATTTCTACCTTTTTAGTCTGAAAGAAGTTGTCTGAATGTCACCAAAAATGGCCACAGAGTTTGGTTTGTCATATACACAATCATAAACAAGTGTAGGCACCTTTACAACTTTCATGGGTTAAAATAAACATAAACAAATAAAACAGCCATACTACATATTTTAAGGCACTCAATCAGAACTATGATGTTGAAAGTAGGCAATGATGAATTGGCAAAGGGCTGCTAACTAAACATTCTTGTAGCAGCAGGACAAGTATTGTATGGCTGAATGGGTAGACCAGATGGGATGGTAGTTTTTACCTTGAGGTTCTGCTGCTCGTCAAGAGTCCAGACACTCAGTATTTTCTCAGAGGATCCTGAAACCCCCTTGGCATTCATGCAGTCAAAGTCAAGGCTCATAACAGGTTCCTTGTGGCACATAATTCTGCTCATTATTTTCTGTTCTAGGACATTCCAGAGGACCACAGAGCCGTCTTCATAGCCAACAATGAGCAAGGGACTTGACCCCGAATTAGGCTGTTGGGTAAATAATAGCAAAGAACATTAACAGGGTTATTCACAAAAGGGTTAAGGGTCAGCTTTTTTGGCCTAGATTGTTCACTTCTCCTGCCTTCTCCAAACTCTTCCCCCTTTTGTGAATAACCCTGAAAGTCATTCTGAAAACTAACACAGTATATAGAAATGGAATTGCACTTCTAAATCATATAAATTAAGACATTTAAAGTACCTGCAAAAATAACACCCACCAATCAAATGTATATGTTCCATGTAATGAGGAAACGTGGCTCACCTGATAAGCAGCTATAGTTGTCTTTCTGAAAACTAAAAACATCATGCAAGAACTGACCTGTTTCCTCCTCTCATCTGGTGTACCCTATTGTTCCTTGATGCTTCAAAGAAATGTTGAATTGCTTACTTGTGTAAAGCAAGTGCGCTTGGTGATTTGAAGCCAAGCACTATGGGGTGATTTATGAAAAACTGGAGCAGACAAAATCAGGAGTATTTGCCTATGGCAACCAATCAACTTCTCTCTTTAGTATGTTCAGTGAAGCTTTAAAAATGAAAGGTGGATGCTGATTGGTTGCCATGCACAGCTGCTCCAGATTTTGTCTGCTCCAATTTTGATAAATTCCCCCATGTATATTTTAACTTATATACACTGATTGATGCAAGGAGAATGTAAAGTTACATTGGCGGTACATGCCATCGGTCACGGCTCCCCCAAAATCATATAGAAAAAAGGAAATATAAATTCTTAGCTGCAAAGCCTGCTGGAGTACGTATTCCAGAAAAACCACCATGGCATCATAATCAAGAACTCTGTGCATCTACACCATATCACGTGACCCAAATGATGAAAAAACAAACAGTCTTTAAATTGTTTCTTCACATTAGTTACTACCCAATGTCTATATAAGATTTTTTTTTCTTTCAGGCTGGAGTTAAGCTAAAAAAAAAACGATCAAGTGAAAAACGTCAGCTCTAACTAAACCCCATCAAAAAAACTAAACACAATTCTCAATTGTTATCTAGAACAAGAATATTGTAAACATATATTTTACTAAAAAAGTATCTGACCAGTTGTGAACAATGATTGGTATAAGTGAAACATGTGACAACTAAGCCAATTCTTCAAGATGAACTTAGAATAAAGTGCGATTATATTTTGCACAAATTAGTATGGTGGTCCTTTTGTTCAAAATAAATGCTTTTACTGAAGGGTAAACATAGCCTTGGCCACTACTGTAACCAATAAGATATAATTTGATTAATGATGCCAAAGGTCAAAAGCCATGACACACTGACCAGACACCTCATTTATTTTAACCTCTGAAATAACTCAAAGGAGATGGAACCTTGGTGGATAGAGTGTCAAGTTTCAGAGAAAAGGATTCATCATCTCACCAGAGTGAATTATAATAACCAGTCAGACAGGAACTGGTCAAGCCAGGATAAATATCCCTAGGGAATGTCAGGTTTAAAGCCTCAGTCTGTTGTATCATAACTGCCATACACTCAGCAGAGCTATGGAATGAATTGGCTATAATGATGTATTCAGAGAAGTGGTGCTGTCATTTGCTTCCCTTACATGTAGATTTCTAGGAACTTTATTTTTCATTCACAACTACTCACGTGCCACAATGTATAAATGGCAACAACTTACTCATGTAATGACAAAGATTGTGATATCAAAACAAGACAAGGTAAAGAAAAGTAGGACACGATATTGCTCTTTTCCAGCTGATCTATTATAAAATGTTGTATATATTCATTCATCTGGCCGTTCTGCTTTTTAGAATTAGTTTGCATTTTTTGTTTATATTTGTGTGAATTCTCTGCTGACATGTTTATATTCACTACTTAGTCATGTATCTCTGTTCACATTCAAATTTGTTTTACTTGTGATTTTCAAATAATGTTTTGATGTACATTAAAAGAGCTAATTGTTTTGCATTCAAAGTAGTTTGTTGAGAAGACAAGAAACAAGAAAGTATTACTCAAATTTATTGGGGCCCCTTCCATGTCGTTCCATAGCAGGGGGCCTCTATTCCCAGAGCACACTTGTAAATAACATCACAACATCTACCTCCCAGGTGTTTACCTCCTTGATGGACCAGAATGTGAAAAGTGAAATTTAGGGATGTTCAGATACCAAGTACCGTACTCGGTACAAGTACAGATACTTTTCCAGCTCCAGGACTAGACTAGAGAAAAATTCAAAAGTTAGGAGGCAGCGGTCATTTGTAAGGAGCACGGAGCTCCGGGGATTTGTACATCCTCATTTTAATACAATATTGTTTTTTATAAATATATAAGTAATGCACAGATACTATTTTCCACTGATACTGATACTTGTCCAAGTACTCACAGATACAAGTACTGATACATTGTTGTTTATTGTCATGTGACAGTTTTTCTAAAGCAATACAGACTAATGATTTCAGGACAGTGGTGGAGCGCCAGAGCCAGGCCCCAGCTGCAACCCTGGTACTTCTCATGAAAATGCCAAGTATCGGCACTGGTACCTGAACTGGTATTTGGACATCCCTGGTGAAATTAGGTGGTTTTTGTGGAAAGCCAATGATACAAGCACACTATAATGCCAGATCACACCAGCTGCTAGATGCAGGAAAAACATGCAATTTCAGTGTTTTATCCTGAGAAAACCCAGGAACTGCACAAGTTTTCAAAGAATTGTATCTTAAAGGAGAACTATGAGGTGAGTGCTTTTCACTCACCTCATAGTTCTAGCCAACCTGTGACAATGAGACTGTCACAGGTCGGCTCAGTAGATCGGGAAGTGAGCGAACAAATATCGGCCTTCGATCACTTCTCGATCCTGTCACAGCTCTCTGCCGTGATAGGGGAGGGACTGGATTCCCTCGTCCGATTCTCCAGCGCTGACTGGCGGAACGTACGGGGGAGGGTACACACTCACGCAGCTGGGCGGATCCAGACATACAATTGTCGGGATCCGCTTCAGCTGCGGCGTCTCAGTATACCGCGGTATGCTGAGCATAGGGTGACGGGAGGACGCTAGTTTGTGTCCTCCCGTTACCCTAAGGCCCTAACCCCATAGTTCTCCTTTAACCTTGTTATTGATGAACCATTTTTTATGTATTTAAAATGCATTTTATTGACTTGAAAATTTACGTAAGACTCCCAAAACTATGGGGCATATTTATATAGTTACACTATAAAGTAAAAAATACAATACTTTTTGCACAACACACACAATATAATCTCCAAACTTCCCTTTAACTATAAAAGAGGAGACTGTGTTGAGTTTATAAATATAATACCCATTTTTTTGTAAAATATAAAAGAAGAGGTGACGACGTCTAAATAGATACCCAACATGCCCAGGTTAAAAATTGAGTGTCCGTTAAACGGCGATAAAATATGGTAACTCAAATTTGTTCATAGGCGACGCTTTAAAAGCCTGTACAGGTCATCAATTTAGAGGTATCTGTTCATATTGGCCCTAGAATTACTTATTTAATCTTATTTTTTGTAACTTTACTTAACTCCTATCACATAGGGGACTTACAAGCCCCCTATGTGATAGCATACTAGTGGTGACAGGTACTCTTTAAGGTGACATTAGGGGTCAATTAGACATCTAGTGTCGCCTTTCCACTCCAAAAAAGCTATTGGAGCACTGATGGCGCTCCAATAGCTTATTGCCTGGCTTCTCCTGCCGAGCAATGACAGCGGAGGGACTGGAAGTAATGCAATCAGTGTCGCTTCCGGTCCCATTCAGCAGGGAGGAAATTGGCGAACGGATGTCTAGGCTGGGCTGCACTTCACCGGCCCAACCCGGCAGTCGGTTTAACACATGTAAACAGAGTCGCTGCTGGGAGTCTCTTTAAACCCCGCTGCCAGCAACCTATGACATACGTTGGTGGCAGCGATAGGGTTAAGGCAGACCTAAACCCAATATATAACTTAATCCCTTCTGAAATTGCTCTACTTAATAAAACATCCGGCAGTGGTTCTATACATGTCCTGGCCTTGGTACCGGCAGCTTTACTGTATTACAGGTTGGGAGATGTGAGCAGGTAGTTTACTACTCAGACCAAGGCAACTAATCAGTGGAACTACCTGCATACACATCCCACCCAGCACTGAAGACTGCAAATAACACCGGGACAGGACACAGAACTAGTCTAGACTTGCTGACTGGTATGTATTACATGGCTGATTTAGCTATTTTAAATTAGACAGAAGAGGGAGGCATGAGAACACTTTAGGTTGTGTATTAGTTCTAGGCCTCCTTTAATATGACGTTTAATAAACTGTGCTGATAAGTCCCTAGTGAGGTATTTATTAAGTGGTGAGAAGTCAGGTAGGAGCTCAAAACCATGAAATATTTGGGCCCTTCTCTTGAATTCACCATGAATTCTCGGTGATAAGTGCACAAAGAGTACCGGGCATGTATGTTTAACAAACCATGAAATTATCATTGGGATAAATATGGAGAAAGGCCTCCTAGATTTATCAACAAAGTCAGACTTGTGTTGAAGAAACACCAAAAATAAAGCAAGCAAGCGAGTTACCATTTTACATATAACTATTAAAAACTGCTGGATTGATTGTGCTGTAAAAGAATCCATTAGGGTGCTTTGCAGCATGTAGCTATTACCTCCCATCTTCATTGACCCTCACAAGGAGGTTATCACCTATATAGGACTACTTTTTGGGTAACAGATGCATCAGGAAATACGTAGGAAACATTCAGTTTCATAAGTGACTTTGCGTTCCACTTTCAACTGCTGCCCCAAATTCACACAGGATTCATTTACACCAGCGGGTGCACGTTATGGTGCATATAATGTGTACACTGGCGTGCATTGTAACAATGCATTCCAGCGTTTTTTTTCTCTTAATTCTTACCTTAAGAGTTAATTTACACCAGCCTAAAAACCACGCTAAAAACCAAGCACAGTGGGGCAGAGCGATGAGTTGTTTTTGCACAAAAGTGTTGGGGGTAGGTTACATGTTAATGTTTAATT